TCGAATGTCACCCCCCTCAGTGATGACACCCGGGCTGCTTCCTGGCGGCGGGGGAGGCCTCCCCCGAGCTGTCAAAAGGAAGAGGGAAGGGAGGGAGGCTGCTGGCAAAGCGGCGCAGCTCCCTCGCCTCCCTGTCCAGGAAGCAGCCCGCCATGGGCGGCTTGCTCCACCCCCCATGGGCAGCTCGCCCCCTGGGATGCTTGCCCCACCCCCATGGCCCTGCCCCCAATGTGCACAGCTCTGCCTCTTTATGTGTGACCCTGTTTTCAGTCCTGTTTTTTATGCCTGCAAAAGTTTCGGGGCAGACATCATCCTTCATTTCCAATCAGTGCATGCCCCTTAAACTTTCTGCTGAAAGCCTGTCTCCTCGATCATTTTCCTCTCGGAGTGATGCGGGATGAAGATTTTTTAAAACCCCAAAAATCCTGCATTCTTTGTGTGGGGGAGGAAGGGGGGAATGACAAAGGTCCAGGAGGTTGATTCAGACCATGGGTTCATCTAGCTCAGCCCTGTCAACACAGACTGGCAGCCTCTCTCCAGGGCTTTAGACTGGGGGGTCTTGCATACCTTCCAACATTTCTATGGTGAAAATAGGGACACCCTATTCAACAACAATGTGGGACCTTCTGCATGCTAAGGCTAAGCAGGTGCTCTGTCACTGAGCCACAGCCCATTTCAAGCCCCGATTGACAGGTTCTGGCAATTTCCTGCCCTGACGCTGCAAACATGCATGCCAGAATCCCTCCCAATCGAGCCAATTCTGTGATTTCCTGGCCCCCAAACCACACTTCTGGCAGATGCCCCACATTTCAAGAGGGATCAGGAGAGGCTGGCGATGGTTTTCAGAAGACAGCACTAACTGCGGCAACCTGAGGTTTGATCCACCCTGGTCCCAGAGGTGTTGCTGCAGTGTGCTGTGCTGTGAGGGAAGGACTCTGGAAAGGAAATTGCACAATCCTTGGGTCATTCTCGCCATCAAGGGTATGCCCAGGCCTTTGCCAGAGAGATCAAGCTGACTGCTTTGGACCGGTCTAAGGGTGTAGGTTCCAGAGGAGGCCAGCAAACAGAAACTGCTTACGGTTCACACTGGAATAGGTACAGTTTCGGTTTCCTATCCAGTTCTCATTTTTCCAATCTTTTATTTGATTTGTTGTATCTCTAGGCCACTTTTCAATTGAGTGAATCTCAAAGAGGTTCACAAGCAATAAATAGCAACAACATAATAAAACATAACAGAACATCACGAATACAGCATGAATCATATAAAATAATTAACAAATCATCAATCAAACCAGCACTGTTATTCTAGAAAAAGAGGTGCCAGAACTCACCATGAACACCTACCTCGTTCTCTTAGTTAGAATGGCAATGGCGCCCACCTGAGAGGTGCCGGAACTGAGTTCCAGCAAGTTCCAGCTAGGAAAAAAAGGCTCGAATAAAACAAATTGAATTTATAAAACACTATTAACAAAACAGCGACTAAAAATAAGCTAAACATCAAAATTAAATTCAGTTCTCTACATTCTTACAACAGTCTAATTTTTTTAAAAAAAGGTCCTGATGAAAATTCATTAGCATTTTAGTGCAAAATTCTCCCAACTTCCCGTAAACTTTGCCTAAAGTACACATTTTTGCAAAGCAATTTGCTTTCATACATTTTTCGGTTTATTTGCACTAACAGATGCATTTTTATGCAGACCTGATCCTAGTACATGCACTTTTATGCCTATTACTTGCATGGAGATCTGCAAAACTTGAAGAACTGCGAATTTCAAAAGACGCTGGGTTTCAGTTTGCCAATTACTGTGGAAAGTGTAAATGACATAACTTCACTTTTAAATGCAAACTGAATCCACATTGCTTGGCCATCCCTTTATGAGAGACACGGGAGGGGGAATGCTTTTGGGTTATGTTCATCGAGAGTTGATAGCTATAATTATCCTCCCACTACAGAAATCTTAAGTCTGTTCATCACTGAAGCATTGTATCGGGGGCAACCAACATTTGACACCCTCCAGATGCTGTGAATCACAGACCCTCCAAGTGTCCCTATTTTCCAGGGACGTCTCTGATTTAGAGGAGCCATCCTGGTTTGTGATTTGATCTTGGAATGTCCCACTTTTCCTTAGGATTTCCCTATTTTCATTGGAGAAATGTTGGATGGTATGCAATTATCCAACCCCCTGAGCCGTCTGAGGGCAATCCTATATAAGAAAGGTTTTTTTTAATATTTATTGTTTTATTATGTTTTTATATATGTTGGAAGCTACCTAGAGTGGCTGGGGCAACCCAGTAAGATGTGTGGGGTATAAATAGTAAAATTATCATTATGAAATGGGGTGACCCTATTTTTATCAGAGAAATGTTGGAAGGTATGGAATCAGAGAACAGTAGAGTGCTTCTGAATACCTGTTTGCTTCTGAATACCAGTTTGCTGGGAATTGCAACTGCGGAGAGTTGTGGTTACACTCTGGTCCTACTTGTGGGGTTCCCAACTGGTTGGCCACCGTGAGAACAGGACTCTAGACAAGATGGTCTCTTTCTGCCTGATCCAGCAGAGCTCTTCTTAAGTTCTTAAGGCCTGGCCAGGCATGTTAAAAGCAAAAGGCTTTTTGGAGCAAAACTCATGGGTTGAATGCTCTTTGGATAAATGGCGCCACTTCCAGACTCTAACATCACAGCGGATGGGGAAACCTCCAGGATGATGCTGGCCACACGCGCCTGTTTTTGTGCATGCCATCTGCCAGTCTCCTACAAAAGTAAGCACAGGGCAGAGATCAATAAAGAGATGCCACTCTTCCTTGCCTATGTCGTATCTCCCTGCCCTTGAACTCCCTTACAGTTTGGACTGGACGTGGCTGCACATGGTCACTTGTTGCCTAGTATTTTAAGTTTCCCTGCACCTATCAAAGAGGCAGCTGGCCTGGTGACTATACACAGCTGGTATTTTCCTCAGGATTTTTGGAAGCAGTCCAGCGTTAGAAAGATAGACTGATTACCCAAAACCGTTCTTTTGAATGTGCTATCCTTATATCACTCCATCTAGCCAAGTGGAACCTGTGGCACTCCAGAATGTCTACAACCTCCCACCATCCCTGACCATTGGCCATGCTGGCTGCAGGGGCTGATGGGAGTTGGAGTATAACAATGTCCAGGCTCCCCATCCCTGTTTTACACCTAAGTTCATTTCATGTGTGATCCCTGATAGGTTGGAACATGTGTCTATGACAGGGGTCCTCAAACTACGGTCAGCGGGCTGGATCTGGTCCACTAGGGTTCTACACCCGGTCTGCCCAGCAATTGCCGCCGCCTGACATCTTTGGGTGGAAGGGGCAGGGACGCAGGCTCCCCCCGGACCAGGGAAGAATCCTACTGCTGCCGCCACCGCCTCACGGGCCAGGCCAGCGACCCCTCCGCCCACCCGCTCTCTCTCGCCACCACACGCTCACTCTCCCCTCACAAGGCTTGGCCGGCTCCACCTCGGCCCACAAACGCCACCCCTTCTTGCAAGACCTGTGAGGCCTAGTTGCCTCCCCTTGCCAGGAACCCCAACAGAGGGAGAAGGGTGCATGTGGTTGCGCATTTCTATCCTCCTCCTGCCAGCCGGGGGTTATTTCTAGGGGATCCTTTTTCCAGCCTGGCTGGAAGGAGGCGGGTGGCCTGGGATGATGCCCCACAGCTCCCTGCCTCCTCTAGCTGGGCAGGGCCGGATCATCCGGCACAGAAGGTCCCTTTTTCCCCTCCTGCAGCCCTGGTGGTGGTGTTTTTTCCAAGAATGTGCAGAATCGCGCTGTGTCCAACCCAGCCAGCAGACGCACGTACCCGTGCACACACTGGCTCCGTTCAGGCCAGCAGCCAGGAAAGGGAGCAGCCCCACCATGGGCCTGGCTGGCACCCCTTGGCCAGCCCGCCCCCGCCCCTGGAAGTGGCATTGCCGCAGGGGCCTGGAAGGCAGAAGGAGAGAAAGGGATTTGAGATGGGTGGCTATGCAGGTCAGAGGAGGGAAGAATGCGCACACGTTTGGCGCCTGCGAGATTTTGCGCTTTAGGGAGCATTCACACGTGCACCTATGATTGCGCTCGCGGGCCAAGGGAACGCGTTTGGCTCCTGCCGGCCTCCACTCAATGCTCACATGGGGCTTTGCGGGCTCTCTCGCCTCAGGCAGGTCTGTGGGAAGCCTGTGGGCCCCTCAGGCTGTTCGTGGACTACAACTCCCATCAGCCCCCGCCAGCGCAACCTGGTAGCAGTGAATGATGGGAGATGGAGTCCACGAACAGCCCGAGGGCCGTTGGTTTGTCTTCCCGGGGGTAGGGGCCAGGATGCTGAAGGGAGGCTTTGTCTGCTGGTTGGATTTTGGGTTCTAGCTAGGCAGGTCTAGCTGGTGGATTATCGTTTTTGGGAAGGGTTCAGTATGGCCTGTTTTAGCTTTTCGCAGAAAACAAGCAGAAGTGGGGCCTTCTCAGGGGAAGACAGCACTAAAGGAAAAAGGAGAGGGAGGAGGTAGAAAAGCAAACGTATTTCTTCATGACTGAGTTCTTGCAATGAGCAGGTGGAACGAGCCAAAAGCTGCTTGCATCACTTGCTACGACTAGCAGTGACAAATATTGACCATCTCATTAGCCAAAAGCAGGCCCATACTTCCCACTGAAATACTTATAAGTTTATGTTGATTAAAATCGTTCTTCATTTTAAATATTGCATTGTTTTCCCTGTTTTTTGCTCACCACAAATAAAATATGTGCAGTGTGCGTAGGAATTCTTTCATATTTCTTTCAAACTATAGTCCTGCCCCCAACAGTGTCTAAAGGACAGTGAACCGGCCCCCTGTTTAAAAAGTTTGAGGACCCCTGGTCTAGGAGATGGGTAGGGATAACAGGCAGGCCTCTTCACCAGCCACAAATCCCTCAGGTGTTTCCCCAAAGTAGGTTATTAATGAGATTTTTTGCTATCTTCCCTGTGACCTCAAAAGTCACGCCAAGCGCCGGTTCAGCAAATGATTCCTCCCCAACAACAAGCACCTTACAGTCAACCACGAAAAGCTCCACAACAACTTCCACACCTGGAACCACACCAACAACGTCCTCCACAGAATCCTCCCAACAACCGCCACCCCTGGGGGAACCACGGAATCCCCTGAGACGGCAACCTCCACTGCCTCCACGGAACACCACACATCCTCTGGAGAAACAAGAAGCTCCACAACAATTTCCACATCTGGAATCCCAACAGTGACATCCACCACAGAATCCTCCCCAATAACAACCGCCCTTGAGGGAACCACAAATTCCCATGAGACAGAAACCTCCACCACCTCTACAGAAGGATTGAGTGAAATCTCCACATCCACAGAAGAAACGACAAGCTCCACAACAATTTCCCCAAGCGGAACCCCACCAATAACATCCCCTACATCCCCTATAACAACCACCTTTGAGGGAACCACGAATTCCCATGAGACGGAAACCTCCACCGCCTCTACAGAGGGACCCAGGGAACATTCCACATCCTCAGGAGAAAACGAACGCTCCACAGCAACTTCCCCACCTGGGACCACCCCAACAGCAGCCCCGACTGAGCCCCCTTTGACGAATTTCAATATCACCTTCCACATCGCAATGGATTTTACTAAGGACTTGGATAATTCGTCCTCCGAAGCATACCGCAACCTGACTTGGACAATCGGGAAGATGGTAAGCGCTGTGGCCTTTCCACCCCCCCTGGGGGAGGGGGCACAGGGGAAGGGGAATGCTGCCCCCCAGCCTCTCAGTCCGGTGGTGGGCTGGGGCCTGCTCATCTGTAAAGAGTAAGGCAGGTATCTCTCCCCTTCCATGGAGCTATGAAAGAGTCAGGGAGCTGCATCCAAGGTCCCTCTAGACCTTGGCTTAATGGTGATTGTAAACCCCTTTCTGTGCGCGATCTCCTCTAGCTATGGCTGCCCCACACTTTTCCCTCTGTGACTCTGTATCACAGGAGAGGGCAGAACCAGTCAAGGATTGGGCCCTAGAAACTGAGTTTATCTCCTAATACAAAATGCGTACCTCCCCTTTCTTCCACAGTATGATGACATTTACAACTGCTCTACGTGCCCTGCTAAATATGGGACATATCTTGGATTCACTGTGAACAAATTCAGGTATGGAAGGGGGATTAAATGAGGGCTGGTGAAAAGTGTCATGTTGGGTTTTCTGGTTCTCACAAAAACAAGAGCAGCTTAACTGCCCCCACCTGCCCCCAACCCTAGGTTGACTGCAAGGGTCTCATTAAGAACAGCTTGTCCTCTTTCCGTAGTGCTGCAAAATACAGCTCTTGCTGCTGAAAGCTTAAGAAATACCTTCACCATGCTCTTCAGTATCCTTTAGTGTTGCCCAATTACCTGTAAAGTACTTCACAGCCACACGGAAACATGAAAGCAAAAAATGTTTGATTTTTCTATGTGTTGGAAGCCACCAAATTGGGGTGTGCACTTCTGCACATGAATCCCAACTGCACTCTGTTCAAATCCACATCTTCCATTTAAAGTGTTACCGTGTCACTTTAAACTGTCATGGCTTCCTCCAAAGAATCCTGGGAGCTGTAGTTTGTTACAGATCCTGAGAGCTGTTTGGAAGTCCCTTTTCTCCTCCCAGAGCTACCATTCCCAGATTTCCTTGGGGAGAGGGATTGGTTGTTAAACCACTCTGGACATTTTAGCTCTGGGAAGGAAACAGGAGCCGCCTAACAATTCTTGGCACCCTTAAGAACCTGCAACTCCCAGGATTCTTTGGGGGAAATGTACGTCTCTTCAGTGTGGTATAAGTTTGCTGTAAATAGATGATGTGGAGAGATAGATAGATAGTTAGATAGATAAGTTGTGTACCTTCCTCCTAGGATTACAGGGTGGTTTACAATATAAAACCACAAAAATACATAACATACTAACAAACAAAAGCAATAGAAAAAATTAAAAGGCGAGATAGATGATTTAATTAACCAAAGGCCCAAGATAAGAGGAATATTGTTACCTGGCGCTTAAATATATGTAATGAAGGTGCCAGGTGAACCTCCTTAGGGAAAACATCCCACAAGCCTACTGAACCTCTCACAGAGGAAGGACCTCAGATGATGATTGAAGGATCCAGGTTGGTTCCTATGGGAAGAGTCAATCCTTGAGACCTGTTGTGTCTTTATTTTCTTATATTAATCATGCTTCTTAAAATACAAACATGCACTGGAATAATTTCAGCTCAAAATTCATTGGATGTGGCATCTGTGTATACCCACTCGTACACAATTTGGTCTGAAACATACAGTTTCTCCACTCCTTTCGAACAGTCACATTTCAAATCCAACATTTCCACTTTCAATATGAATTCTGTGCACCACCACTGGTACAAATCATAGTGATGCAAGGGAACTGAAAAGTCACCTAGTGCAACCCCATGCCAATGTGCAGTAAATCCACGGCCACAGCATTGTTGATAGCAGGCACTCTCCACAATAACCCCAACAAAGAGGGGTGAAACAGTTTCTGAATCAGCAAGTTCCACTATTGAAAGACTTTCAGGGTTGTTTCTTTCGGGCCAGGCACTGAAGGCATGTTTCCAAAAACCATTGTACAACATTGAAGTGCCTTGGCGTGCTCAACACAGCCAAGCACGACATTCCAGGGCCAGAATGTAGAATGCTCAGTGGCAGAGCATCTGCTTGGCATGCAGAAGGTCCCAGGTTCAACCCCCAGCTTCTCCAGGTAAGGCTGGGAAAGACCCCCGGTCTAAAACCCTGGAGAGCTGCTTCCAGTCAGTGCAGATGATACTGAACTGGGTGGACCAATGGTGCAGCTCACCATATAGCAACTTCTTGTTTTCCTCTGTTTCTGCAAAGCATGCGTGTTCCTCCACTGCAGGGGGATGGAATAAAAGGCCCTTGAGGTCTCTTCCACCTCTACAATTCTGGTTTCATGCCAATTGATGCTCAGCCAGAAAACAATCCTCTCTGGCCGCGTTCCCTGGCAAAGCCAGAGATTTAAACCGAGGACCTTCTGCATTCAAAGCAGTTGCTCTACTGCTGAGTGATGGGAGTGTGGGGCTGTCAAGCTGCAGTTCCAGATCCGCCAACGCTTCTCTTTTCCCTTTCCAACGTACAGTAGCGGTTCAGTGCTGGCAGATACAACGGTACACTTCGAGAAAAGCGCAGATGTCTCCGCCGGAGTGATCAGAACTGCTCTGAGCAACGCAACAGAAGACCAATGGCAGGGTCTCAACCTGACTCAGATTGAAGGTGAAGGGCTGAAGGATGAATAGTGGGGGGGGGGGCTGCGACACAAGACTCAGAGCAACCTGACTCAGATTGAAGGTGAAGGGCTGAAGGATGAATAGTGGGGGGGGGGGGCTGCGACACAAGACTCAGAGCGCCTCATGCAGCTCCAGGCACAGAATTCCTTTCCTGGAAGTCTAGGCAGGTTTCCAGCCCTCAGTGCTGAAACTGGGATGATTTCTGTAGATTAATATGCACACAGCAGATTGCATTATGCAGAACAACAGAATGACGCACAGGCGGGAAACACACCAAATATTTAAGGCCTTTTGGTTGGACACCAAAGTAGCACTCAACCTCTCCATCTATTGGCACAAGGATTTCTCCCTGCACAGGGGGACGCTCTCCTCTCACCACACCCCTCATGAAAGTGCTCTGGGGGTTCCCCCCAAACCTCTGGAGCAGATCTGGAGAGGGCCCAGGCTTCACTTGGGTGGGGAGGCAGGAGAGGGGGAAATGTCCCATTGAGCAAGCAGCAAGCCTTGCAAGGACAGGAAGGCAATAGCTGCATGCCGCCCGTTTCAGCTTGCCCCCAAGTATCCTGGGAACAGTGTTTGAGCGCTCACAGAGCCTTGATTCCCTGCATCCTTAGCAAGCCGTTTCCCAGGATTCTTGCAGATATCCCATGCATTTAAACGTATGGTGGGTAGAGCTTGAGGGATGTAGTGAGGTTGCAGAATCCAACTTATTTTCCCACAGATGATCTACCCAGTGAGCTATGGGTCTTCCCTACAGATTTCCCATTCCTCCCCAAAGGGAGAGGAGTAAATGGACATGGAGCGGACTCCCACCAGAAACACCCGTTCCTACCTACACATTCCTTCCATTGCGGGGTGATGGTGGGCTGGAACGCTTGACTGTGGAGGCAGCGTCCGGGTCTCCTTCCGGGGGCTAGTCCTGCTCCAGCTGGGGGTCCCTCTCACCCCATTGATCTGCTTCCTGCTCAGGTGGTGCCCATAGAAAGAGCAACAACCCCCGCAGGTGACTATGGGAATGGAGATCAATGGAACTGAGAAGGGCTGGGAGTGGGACAAATGGAAAGAAGGGGGCTTCCCGTGATCCTGAAAGTAAGACTCCAACCCAAGCTTGAGCACCTCTAGGCACAATCCCCCCTGAGCAGGACAGCAGGCCTGCCTCTTCTTCCTCCCCCACAAATCTTTTCCTTCCGGGAGGGGTCCTAATGAGATCTTTTCCTTTCACCTCAGTGACCAAGCAGGAGACGACAACGACGCCTTCTCCCACCACAGCTAGCACCAGCTCAAATACAACCACACCTAAGCCTCCCATAGAGCAGACGTTCACCATCACTTACCACATCACAATGAATTTTACTGAGGACTTGTTGGATTCGTCCTCCGAAGCATACCGCAGCCTGAATGAGACAATCGGGAAGATGGTAAGTTCTGTGGCCTTTCCACCCCCCTGGGGGAGGGGGCACAGGGGAGGGAAATGCTGCCCCCCAGCCTCTCGGTCCGGGGGTGGGGTGGGGCCTGCTCATCTGTAAAGAATGGGGCAGATATCTCTGTGCTACTGCAGAGCTATGAGGCTTCCAGGTTTGTGACGCAGCTTCCTGGGGATTGTCAGCCCCTATACACAGTCTTCTATTCCCCCTCGTCTTTGCTGCCCCACACGTTCTCCTCTGTGCCTCTGTTTTCCTGTGGGGTGGGGCGAAGAGAAGATGAGAAGAGCTGACTTCATCCCAGCCATGTCTCAAGCCTCAGAAAATGAGTTAATAGCATAATACAACATGCGTTATACACTTTTCTTTCCACAGTATGAGGAAGTTTTCAACTGCACGGGATGCCTTGCTGAAGGGAAATATATGGGGTACAAGGTGAATTCTTTCAGGTACGGAAGCGGGATTAAATGAGGGCACCCACCTAAGCTAGGTGGGCCGTGGCTCCAGCTGAGTATAGGGCAGCTTCCTGTGTCTCTCTGTGTTTCTGCTAAGCATGTACATGTCTCCACTGCAGGGGGGTGGAACAGATGGCCCTTGAGGTCCCCTCCACCTCTACAATTCAGGTTTCATGCCATGATATGCTCAGGCTGAAAACAATCCTCTCTGGCCGCGTTCCCTGGCAAAGCCAGAGATTTAAACCAAGGACCTTCTGCATGCAAAGCAGCTGCTCTTCTGCTGAGTGATGGGAGTGTGGAGCTGTCCAGCTGCATTTCCAGATCCGCCAACGCTTCTCTTTTCCCTTTCCAACGTACAGTAGCGGTTCAGTGCTGGCAGATACAACGGTACGCTTCCAGGAAAGTGCAGGTGTTTCCGCCGATACGCTCCGCACTGCTCTGAACGACGCACCTGAAGACAAACGGCAGGGTCTCAACCTGACTCAGATTGAAGGTGAAGGGATGAAGGATGAATAGTGGGGGACTGGCTACTACAGCAAAGCATCCCTCAAGCTGTGTCTGCGACACAAGACTCAGAGCCCCTCATGCAGCTCCAGGCACAGAATTCCTTTCCTGGAAGTCTAGGCAGGTTTCCGGCCCTCAGTGCTGAAACTGGGATGATTTCTGTAGATTAATATGCACACTGCAGATTGCATTATGCAAAACAACAGCATGACGCTCAGGCATCAAACACACCAAATATTTATGGCCCTTTGGTTGGACACCAAAGTAGCACTCAACCTCTCCATCTATTGGCACAAGGATTTCTCCCTGCACAGGGGGACGCTTTCCTCTCACCGCACCCCTCATGAAACTTCTCTGGGGGTTCCCCCCAGACCTCTGGAGCAGATCTGGAGAGGACACAGGGTTCACTTGGGCAGGGAGGAAGGAGAGGGGGAAATGTCCCATTGAGCAAGCAGCAAGCCTTGCGAGGACAGGACGCAATAGCTGCATGCCGCCTGCTTGAGCTTGCCCCCAAGTATCCTGGGAACAGTGTTTGAGCGCTCAGAGAGCTTTGATTCCCAGCATTTTTAGCAACCTGGTTCCCAGGATCCTTGCAGATATCCCATGCATTTAAATGTATGGTGGGTACACAGGAAGAGGCATGTAGTGTGGTTCCAGAATCCAGCTACTTTTACCACAGATGATCTACCCAGTGAGCTATGGGTCTTCCCCACAGATTTCCCATTCCTCCCCAAAGGGAGAGGAGTAAATGGACATGGAGGGGACTCCCACCGGAAACACCCGTTCCTACCTACACATTCCTTCCATTGCGGGGTGATGGTGGGCTGGAACGCTTGACTGTGGAGGCAGCTTCCGGGTCTCCTTCCGGGGGCTAGTCCTGCTCCAGCTGGGGGGTCCCTCTCACCCCATTGACCTGCTTCCTGCTCAGGTGGTGCCCATAGAACGAGCAGAAAGAGATGCTCAAACTTCAACAACCCCCGCAGGTGACTATGGGGATGGAGATCAATGGAACTGAGAAGGGCTGGGAGTGGGACAAATGGAAAGAAGGGGGCTTCCCGTGATCCTGAAAGTAAGACTCCAACCCAAGCTTGATCACCTCTAGGCACAATCCCCCCTGAGCAGGACAGCAGGCCTGCCTCTTCTTCCTCCCCCACAAATCTTTTCCTTCCGGGAAGGGTCCTAATGAGATCGTTTCCTTTCACCTCAGTGACCAAGCAGGAGACGACAACGATGCCTTCTCCCACCACGACTAGCACCAGCTCAAAGACAACCACACCTAAGCCTCCCATAGAGCAGACGTTCACCATCACATACCACATCACAATGAATTTTACTGAGGACTTGTCGGATTCGTCCTCCGAAGCATACCGCAGCCTGAATGAGACAATCGGGAAGATGGTAAGTTCTGTGGCCTTTCCATCCCCCTGGGAGAGGGGGCACAGGGGAGGGAAATGGTGCCCCCCAGCCTCTCGGTCCGGGGGTGGGGTGGGGCTGTAAAGAATGGGGCAGATATCTCTGTGCTACTGCAGAGCTATGGGGCTTCCAGGTATTTGACGCAGCTTCCTGGGGATTGTCAGCCCCTATATGCAGTCTTCAATTCCCCCTCATCCCTGCTGCCCCACACGTTCTCATCTGTGCCTCTGTTTTCCTGTGGGGTGGGGCGAAGAGAAAGTGAGAAGGGCTGACTTCATCCCAGCCATGTCTCAAGCCTCAGAAAATGAGTTAATAGCATAATACAACATGCGTTATACCCTTTTCTTTCCGCAGTATGAGGAAGTTTTCAACTGCACGGGATGCCTTGCTGAAGGGAAATATATGGGGTACAAGGTGAATTCTTTCAGGTACGGAAGCGGGATTAAATGAGGGCACCCACCTGAGCTAGGTGGGTCGTGGGTCCAGCTGAGAATAGGGCAGCTTGCTGTGTCTCTCTGTGTTTCTGCTAAGCATGTACATGTCTCCACTGCAGGGGGTGGAACAGATGGCCCTTGAGGTCCCCTCCACCTCTACAATTCTGGTTTCATGCCAATTGATGCTCAGGCTGAAAACAATCCTCTCTGGCCGCGTTCCCTGGCAAAGCCAGAGATTTAAACCAAGGACCTTCTGCATGCAAAGCAGCTTCTCTTCTGCTGAGTGATGGGAGTGTGGGGCTGTCAAGCTGCAGTTCCAGATCCGCCAACGCTTCTCTTTTCCCTTTTTAATGTACAGAAATGGCTCAGTGCTGGCAGATACAACGGTACGCTTCCAGGAAAGCGCAGGTGTTTCCGCCGATAAGCTCCGCACTGCTCTGAGCGACGCACCTGAAGACAAACGGCATGGTCTCACCCTGACTCAGATTGAAGGTGAAGGGCTGAAGGATGGACAGTGGGGGGGCTGGGTACTACAGCAAAACATCCCTCGGGCTGTGTCTGCGACACAAGACTCAGAGCCTCTCATGCAGTTCGAGACACAAAATTCCCTCCTGGAAGTCTAGGCAGGTTTCCGGCCCTCAGTGCTGAAACTGGGATGGTTTCTGTAGATTAATATGCACACAGCAGATTGCATTATGCAAAACAAGAGCATGACACTCAGCAGGAAACACACCAAATATTTATGGCCCTTTGGTTGGACACCAAAGTAGCACTCAACCTCTCCATCTGTTGGCACAAGGATTTCTCCCTTCACAGGGGGACGCTCTCCTCTCACCGCACCCCTCCTGAAACTGCTCTGGGGGTTCCCCCCAGACCTCTGGAGCAGATCTGGAGAGGGCCCAGGGTTCACTTGGGTTGGGAGGGAGGAGAGGGGGATATGTCCCATTGAGCAAGCAGCAAGCCTTGCGAGGACAGGACGCAACATCTGCATGCCGCCCGTTTCAGCTTGCCCCCAAGTATCCTGGGAATAGTGCTTGAGCGCTCACAGAGCCATGATTCCCTGCATCCTTAGCAAACCGCCTCCAAGAATTCTTGCAGATATCCCATGCATTTAAACGTATGGTGGGTACAGAGCTTGAGGGATGTAGTGAGGTTGCAGAATCCAACTTATTCTACCGCAGATGATCTACCCAGTTAGCTATGGGTCTTCCCTACAGCTTTCCCATTCCTCCCCAAAGGGAGAGGAGTAAATGGACATGGAGGGGGCTCCCACCGGAAACACCCGTTCCTACCTACACCTTCCTTCCATTGCGGAGTGATGGTGGGCTGGAACACTTGACTGTGGAGGCAGCGTCCGGGTCTCCTTCCAGAGGCTCCTCCTGCTCCAGCTGGGGGCCCCTCTCGCCCCATTGACCTGCTTCCTGCTCAGGTGGTGCCCATAGAAAGAGCAGAAAGAGATGCTCAAACTTCAACAACCCCCGCAGGTGACTATGGGGATGGAGATCAATGGAACTGAGAAGGGCTGGGAGGGGGACAAATGGAAAGAAGGGGGCTTCCCGTGATTTTGAAAGTAAGACCCCAACCCAAGCTTTGAGCACCTCTAGGCACAATCCCCCCTGAGCAGGACAGCAGGCCTGCCTCTTCTTCCTCCGCCACAAATCTTTTCCTTCCGGAGGGGTGCTAATGAGATCTTTTTCCTTTCACCTCAGTGACCGAGCAGGAGACGACAACGACGCCTTCTCCCACCACGAACTAGCACCAGCTCAAAGCACCCGCACCTAAGCCCCCCAAAGAGAAAACGTTCACCATCACTTACCACATCACAATGAATTATACTAAGGACTTGTCGGATTCGTCCTCGAAGCATACCGCAGGCCTGAATGAGACAATTGGGAAGATGTAGTTCTGTGGCCTTTCCACCCCCTGGGGAGGGGGCACAGGGGAGGGAAATGCTGCCCCCCCCAGCCTCTCAGTCTGGGGTGGGGTGGGGCCTGCTCATCTGTAAAGAATGGGGCAGATATCTCTGTGCCACTGCCGAGCTATGAGGCTTCCAGGTTTGTGACGCAGTTTCCTGGGGATTGTCAGCCCCTATACGCAGGTCTTCTATTCCCCCTCGTCTCTGCTGCCCCACACATTCTCCTCTGTGCCTCTCTTTTCTGTGGGTGGGGCAAAGAGAAAGTGAGAAGGGCTGACTTCATCCCAGCCATTTCACAAGCCTCAGAAAAAGAGTTAATAAGCCATAATACAACATCTGTACTACCCTTTTCTTTCCGCAGTATGAGGACGTTTTCAACTGCACAGGATGCCCTGCTGAAGGGAAATATATAGGATACACGGTGAATTCTTTCAGGTACGGAAGGGGATTATATGAGGGCACCCACCTGAGCTAGGTGGGTCGTGGGTCCAGATGAGTATAGGGCAGCTTCCTGTGTCTCTCTGTCGTTTCTGCTGAGCATGTACATGTCTCCACTGCAGGGGGGTGGAATAGATGGCCCTTTGAGGTCCCCTCCACCTCTACAATTCTGGGTTTCATGCAATTTGATGCTCAGGCAGAAAACAATCCTCTCTGGCCGCCTTCCCTGGCAAAAGCCAGAGATTTAAACAAAAGGGACCTTCTGCATTCAAAGCAGTTGCTCTACTGCTGAGTGATGGGAGTGTGGGGCTGTGAAGCTGCAGTTCAGATCCCGCCAACGCTTCTCTTTTAACTTTTCTCACGTACAGGAAGCGGTCTCGGTGCTGGCAGATACAACGGTTACCACTTCGAGAAAAGCACAGATATTTCCGCCGGAGTGATCAGAACTGCTCTGAGCAACGCAACAGAAGACCAACGGCAGGGTCTCAACCTGACTCAGATTGAAGGTGAAGGGCTGAAGGATGCATAGTGGGGGGGGGCTGGCTACTACGGCAAAGCATCCCTCGGGATGTGTCTGCGACACAAGACTCAGAGCCCCTCGTGCAGTTCGAGACACAGAATTCCCTTCCTGGAAGTCTAGGCAGGTTTCCAGCCCTCAGTGCTGAAACTGGGATGATTTCTGTAGATTAATATGCACAC